TCCCTTGTCCTGGATCGTCTCCTTTCTACATGTATGAATACCGGCAAGAAATAGTGGAGGATGGAATGACCATTTATGAACTACTGATCGTCATCTGTCACCAATACCCAGCCCCTTGTTTGGGACCCCTGAAGCTCGAACAAACGACGTGTTGATAAGCAGACAGATTCCATGATTTTTGAACCACGGGCTCTTTATCCTGTCGGTTGCGGCCATCTATCATTGTTTATATGAATATCTTTAAAGTAAAATAATAATAATAATAATAATAAGAAGAAGAAGAAGAAGAAGAAGAAGAAGAGGAAGAAGAAGAAGCGGAGCTTGTGTTCATCATTGTATTCCCATGACTATCCTTACTCGCAAAAACCCATACTTAACGACAAATGGAAACAGGGTAACGTTGAAACCCAAACGCAACAAGTCCGAAATTGATACTCAGCCGTGTCCATGGTTTGTTTTCGCTAGCGTAAACTCGATAAGCCTGCCGGCACAGTCGTCATTTGCACATTTCGCACTTGACGAGAACTCGAATCATCCGATTGGAAAAAACCACGACCAGAAGGTCGAAAGCGGGATCATACCCTGGAGAGGCGAGGGCGCGACTGTCTGGGCCAGTCTGCCACTTCGTCGAATGGTGAGTTTGTGTCCATGCATTCACAGCTAGACTTGTTTACCGGTTCAACAAGGATAATTAGATTCGTCGGCAAATAACGCAAACGAAAATAACTCCAGTGTTAATGTATCTGATAAGATGAAATTTCGGTAAAGTCAATTGTGCTAGTGAGGAGAACAAACAAAAGGAATGCCGCGAACCTCGACGGAAGATTCGATGCTTTCAGGTCAGAATCGGGAGCCCTCAAAAAGGCGACATAAGCAGCTAAAGAATGTTCTGACGTTGGTAATGGATGTAAATCATAAGACTTCTGTGAATGAGAAGGTTGATAAGTGAACAGAAGTCTACTATTACCGATACAAGCGGAGATGTGAGATCCAGGATCTGGTTTATCAGAAGAAGAAGCGATCGCCGGAACAAGGATTTTATTCGCCTGGCGTTTCGGATTCTCCCTTGAGTCCATCATCAGAGACAGTGGCAGAAAAGGGTGACTCCTGCACAGGAAGTTGCAGTACGTCTAGGATGTACTCGCTATGCTACCGCATATCTAAAGCAATCAACCGCGCTCCCCTTCATGCAGGATTGTTGCCCGCTGGTGCGCCGATTGCTTGCTGGCCGGCATGCAAAATGTTAATAGCCGAAATGGCATCACCCGTGTTGGATGCTAGCGTAATGATTGCTCGGCCATCTGGCTCACTGGCTTGCGCGCTCCCCGAGTGGTCAATTACTTTGGCCAGCCTATGCCTCAGCACGGAATATGGAGTGGGGATGTCGTTGCACTTGTTGATAGACTGAGGTCCCGTGAACCATGACTCAAGGAACTCGCGGCTCACGCGATTATCTTCTCACGAATATTCCCTCTCGCGAGAATTTCGGCCTCATCGAACTTGAATGTGTGGCCGGGTCTCGTCGAATGGGCCGCGACCTGAGAGTAAGCGTCATTTCTCCGCACCGCTGTCGCGTGTTCGGCAATTCGCATTTGGAGCAGTCTTCTAGTTTCTCCAACGTAGTTGCTTTGTCCGCAAATGCACCAGATCCGGTAAACGACTTCAGATCTTTCTTGCCGTGGCAGTGGGTCTTTTGGTCTCATCACCTGACGCCTCATGGTGGCCTCCGGTCTGTGTGCAACTCCAGACCCAAGTGGTGCAAGAAGGCGGCTAACGGCTTCGGAGACGTTCTTGATGTACGGGATCGCTCGCCAGAATTTGGGGTCGGCACGGTTTTGTCGCTCGTCTCGTTTGCGCAGCACTGGTTGACGAAGTTGCGCGGGTAACCGTTTTCTCGGAAAACCCGTCGAAGATATTGGGATTCGGCAACCTTGTCTTCCGGTTCACTGCAGTGCGTCTCAACACACCGAAATAGCGTTCTTACGCAACTGCGTTTGTGGCAGATTGGGTGGTTACTGTTGAAGTTCAGAATTTGCGTCGTGTTCGTTGCTTTTCTGAACAGATTGGTCTCTAGTCCACCACAATCTTTGCGACAGACGAGGACATCAAGGAATACCAGCTGGTTATTCTCTTCCTCCTCCATCGTCAATTGTATGTCCGGGAAGACGCTGTTGAGACGTTCTTTGAACGTTAGCACTGATCCCGTTCATGGGCGAGTTCATGGGCGAGAACGGCACAAATCTGCTTCAACAGAAAGTGACTGAACGAGCCCGCGTGGAGAAAGCGACACGCGATGCAGCACTGGGGAACAAATTCCACAAGCTGCCTGATCCAACGTCATCCAGAAGCGGCACACTGGTACACAACCTGTCGTCAAAGGAACTGACGAAGGAGCAAGCACAGGTTTTACGGCACGAATCCTCATTCAACACAGCTGACGCCAAACCTGTCAACATGATTGCAGCAATGGAATCGGTCATTAATCAGACGGAAGCGACGGGGGAGACGAAGAACCTTATCGGACACCAAGTTACGTCCCTTCTTATGACTTACAAGCCGCGCGAAACACTCACAAAGGTCTAACGCGATGCACTAAGAGAACTCAAGGCCGACAAGGACATCGTCATTGTGCCCGCGGACAAGGGGCGTTCCACCGTCGTACTGGACAGAACAGACTACCTTCAGAAGGCCAAAAACCTACTGGAGTATCGCCAGTTCTATGCCCCATGTGGGACCAACCCCATAAAAACGCTGACACGCGAAATAAATGCGACACTGTTGGCACTGGAGAACTCGGGTGCAATAACAGCGACCGACCGACGCATGGCGAGAGTTCAAGAAACGGCTTTGGTCCGATTCTATGGTCTCCCAAAGGTGCACAAGGAGGGAGCTCCTCTCCGGCTCATTTTTTGCTCAAAGGCACTCCAATGGGCTCGCCGATTTCGGGATTCATCGCCGAGGCGGTGCTACAGCGGTTGGAGTCGCTGGTCTTCCAACAGCACAGACCGAAATTCTGGGCTCGGTATGTGGACGATACCTTCGTCGTCATCGAACGGGATCAGATGCTAACGTTCAAAGAACGTCTCAACAGCGTCTTCCCGGACATACAATTGACGATGGAGGAGGAAGAGAATAACTGGTTGACGAATTTGCGCGGGTTTTCAGGTGTCACACCTGGGTGCATGATGGGCTATGCAAGACGGGCTATGCAGTAATCTTTAGGCTTCTACGATTACTGCTTTAGGACTTAAAACTACATTGCACTGGTATTTAGACGGTTAAATTAAGATGTGGGAGAATGTGAAGGGTTTTTACGAAAAAGCCTGCTTCTAGTCAACCGCTCAGGAGGAAGTAACACCAATGGCTGCCCTGTGCTACAACCCTCGTATTCTTAAACCAGGCCAAAAAATTCCATCTCGGGGAAGGACAAGGACATCAAGGAATGCCAGTTTGTTATTTTCTTCCTCCCCCATCGTAAATTGTACGTCCGGGAAGACGCTGTTGAGACGTCCTTTGAACGTTAGCACCTGATCCCGTTCGATGACGACGAAGGTATCGTCCACATACTGAGCCCAGAATTTCGGTTTGTGATGTTGGAAGACCAGCGACTCCAACCGCTGTAGGACCGCCTCGGCGATGAATCCCGAGATCGGCGAGCCCATTGGTGTTCCCTTCAATTGTTAGTAGATTGTTCCGTCAAACGTGAAGTCGTTAAGTCTATTATTCCACGCAATCAATTCTATTTTAGAAGTAGTTGACTCAACTAACCCATTGTTGGCTTTAACCGTAAAAAACCGAAAATGTGCGCAATTGCCCTTTGTCTACCTGACGGCAGAGACATTTGTTTTGAAAGTTATGCAGTCAATGAATTTTTCCACAAGATGTAACGCTTACTTCGAGATGATAAATTTCACTGAGAAAGAAAGCTCCGAGCGACACCCTCTAAAGTTTTTACATTATGATGTCACCTTCCAAGCTCCAAACGTCACAGTTTTTAGAAACTGATCAGGAGAGAGAAGCAAGTATCGTCAACCGATCGGGTTATGAGGCAGGCCCGTCCAGAACTCCCGCAGACAGTCGTCTAGCGACCAATAATAACCCAGGCACAAATGCTGACGAAGGCAGGGAAGACTGAGGGGTAAATTTCCGTATTGTTGGCCGTCCTCAGTCAGCCATACTCTACCCGAGGTTTAAACAAGATGCGATTCGAACTCCGATTCTTCCGTCATTGTGCGTTACGTGGTCTGGTATTCTACCATTGGGCCACGGTCTATTGTCCTTTCTATCCCTATCGAGAGCATCTAATTATGTTAAAAGTGCGTTCAGCGATCAGGTTACGGAACGTGCTCCTCCGGTTACGCCTTTGGGCTAAATCTACAGCACTCACAGACAGTCGCATAGCAACCAGTAGTGATGAGGGGTTGGGGAATGTCGAGACTTTGTCATTTCTGGTTTATTGCCTCTTGCCAGCCAGCCAGCCATAGTCAACTCTATAGGAGTTCGAAAAGAAGTTCATTCAAAAGCCGACATCCTGGTTAGTCCAAATTACTTTGAAATTATGTTCTTTGTTAAGCGACATTACAGCTATATCCATGTAATCGTTCCCAATTGAAAACGCATTTCTTAATTTCGGCGAACATTTCATCAGGTCGGTCACGCACTGCAAGTGACTTTACCAAAATCCCTTTTGATCGGGTGCATAAACGCCACATTTGCTTACGACGGCGTTTATTGCCCGCGAAGCTTATTATCCTGATTAAGCTGGTAAACAAGTCCAGTTTTGAACGTGTGTACACATTAGATTGGCGTCCATCGATCAGTCCTGATGGAAAGACGAATGAAATTTCGCTCCTTTGCTCCCTGTTTTCAAAGTGCATTTTAGTTAATTGTCATGATACGGAGTATGACTCATTTGAAATCAGCAATGGAGAGCAGTCTATATTAAAGTTCCGACTAGTCGGGAGACTTTGTTTCAGCCTTCCACGTTTCTCTCGGACTTTCTCTTCTACAATTTCACGGTTATGGGAAAGTCAGGCGGAAGATCAACTCATAGAGTTCCATACACAGCTTCATGGAATCTATTAACTATAATAATGAATTGACTTTCATAAAATCAACAAGCAAAACCGAAGTTTACTTCCCGATTTCCTTCTTCGTTCCTGGTATCACTGCAGTACGTGACCTATCTCATGGAATCTGATATCGGAAACTGATGCGAGAATTTCTGGACGCCATTAACGTTGCGCACTTTGTTCGCTCATTCACATCCTTAAATGAAGTGTTCTTTTTAAGCAGAATTTGTGGTAACGTAATTTTGTCAAGTAAAATATCAGTAAATTTTAGCGAAAATGGACTTTGGAATATATTTGTGCAATTTCCTAGTTCCTAGACCCCGGTTACGCATCTGAGCGATTTTTTCATTGAATGGGCGGTAATTTATCCGCGAGAGTTCAAAAGAAACAGATTTAATTTAAATTGAAGATTTGTTCTTTGTCCAATGTTAACCACGGTGATCAACTTGCTAACACAAAGGTTATTTTAAGAAAATCGGAAATTTTATCAATTCCAAAATGTCAGCTTAACAGATCTGTGCGATTTGGTGCCCCAAAGTTCAGTAATAACGCAGATAGGGATTCATTCCTTTAAATGGGCTGAAACTGTTTTGCCGTTCGGAAAATTCTACAAAGCAACTCTGTCTTTAATATTTATTTTATGTTTTAGATTTTGTTCAACTTATACTAAATTAACAAAGACATTGCAATCATGAAATTTTGTCGATTTGCGAGTGATTGGCAATCATTTCGACACCTTTCATGAGTTAGGTCACTTACTGTACAAACAACTCCATTTTCTTCTGACTGTGTATAATTGCATCAAGAAACGTAACCTTACGTCAGTGGCGTCATCAGCGGTTGCGCCGTTGCATACATAGAATGGCATTCATAGACGTCGAATGGACACTATAATGCTGCAGGATAATGCTCCTGTCCACCGCTCAAAGGAGGTATGATTCCAATTCAGTCTACGACTGTAATCGAATATTTTAGACCACAGCCAGCCTCTCTGCCTGCGGCCCTCGAAGCATTTTTATCCCCGCCAACAGCCCGAACCTAAATCCCATCGAAAATCTTTTTGCATTAATCACAAGAGACTGGGACAAGGCAAGGAAGCATATAGACAACTTGGTAGTCTCAATGCCCTCCCGCCTTACAGCAACTTTAAAAGCTAAAGGACAATCAACAAAGTGCTAACACGTTGTATTTGTTACTGTTTTTCAATTTTTTGTCGTTTTGTGAAAGTTTCCTTCTCTGCTGACAGTTATATTAGATCCTGAATAGTTGGCCGGCTATACAGTCGATTTTTATATTTGGTAGTTTTTCCTAAAATAAGTAATTTCTTAGTCAATAAATAATACTTTACAAACCAAACCATGCTTTATTTTGTAGCTCGGTCGTATATTTAACGCAGTATAACTTTCGTGGATGCGGGGTGGCAGTATCGTGCGCTACGGCGATTTAAGTTCACAGTTCGTGACATTTCATCACATAGGTCACGAACTGTACATACTGTCCACGACGATTTTCGTATGAACAAGTACACATGTTCTGGTAATCATCTGATTGTCAAGAAATTTTATCAAAAGTTGATTAAAATATGGCTAGGTAAATGAAATAAACTGCGACTGTTTCATGCAGAAACCGCGTGATTTTCACACCGGCATGCATCTACTCGTACGAATAAAAGTACACAACACGTACGCACAGAGTCGTTGGCTGGGTGTGCGGGCATTATGAAGGCCACATCTTAAAAGATAAAACCCGTCTAGGGTCAGGCGACTACGTCATCACAACCAGCTCAGTCGCTGTAACTTTATCACCTTGATTGACGAAAAAAATGAACATAGATCTGGAATCCTGTCAGCGGTCTAACAGTTCTATAGTTGCCGAATGCTCAGGTCAAACTCCAAGGATATGGTCTGTTCCCAGGGGACCACTTGGAACCCACCAGTACTGATAAGTCCCTCTGATGATGGGTTCGGGTGAAAATGCAAAACGTCAGACCAGGAAACTTCTTGTTCCAGAGATCGCATCTGAGCTGCTTTCTGGAACTGGCCTGTTCGCTTCAATCGAAAAGGATCTGAGTTTACGCGGCCCCATCCTAAAGGCAGTGTCGCCTCATCCTGTCGCCCAGAAGATCGATTGACGCTCTCGACTGTTGGCCAGTGTCCCAGAGGTCCAACTTCCTCTCCGATCGAAGATGTCTCCTCATGGAGACTCGCTGAAAGGTCACTCAGACGGTTCTACCTGACACTCTGTCGAGCACAGGAACAAATCTGCCAGCGAAACCCTCTCTCACAACCTCTGTCCGATTTAGTGCTGCAGTTGGAGAGGGGAAAAAAGGCTGGCAGAAATGAACACCATGCCGGTTCTCTGCCCTAGGAGTGTGCAAAGTCAACTGAAGAAGGGCCGCTAAGGCTCTGTCTTTCTGTGATTGTGGTGGTGGTTGTGGTGGTCATAGTCAAACCTTACTAAGATGTAGTCTGTCTCCCAGTACAAATGACTCTTGCAGGAATGCGGATATTA